CAAGAGCCTGAGACCACCCAGTGCCCCAGAACCTCAGCCAACCTGTGTCCCAGAACCTCAGCCAACCTGTGCCCCAGAACCTCAGCCAACCTGTGTCCCAGAACCTCAGCCAACCTGTGCCCCAGAACCTCAGCCAACCTGTGTCCCAGAACCTCAGCCAACCTGTGCCCAGAACCTCAGCCTGTGCTCCTGTCCTGCCAGAGCATCTTCAGCTCCAGCCCTCTTAACGTTCCTGTTGAGGTCTGGTTCCCCATTGGCATGTCTGTCCATTGCTGTGTCCCAGTGGGAGGCCCTGCCAACAACTGCATCCCTGTTGTAGGCCCTGCCCACTCTTTTGGGCCTGTCAGTGGCCTGGCCTATACCTGCCCATGTTTTTACGTTGACGGCAAGACAGAAATCTCCTAGCTGCCGCCTTCCCAAACTGCTCTCACCGTTTGGTCGGCCTCCCATCCTCCCTCCTGAACTATTTGCGCTAATGCCCTTCAGGTTCCTGCTCTCCCTCTGCCCTGCCGCCCACCTGAACTTTTCTGCTCCCTGAACTCTAGCCCTTGGTTCAACTCAGCTGCAGACTATTAAACATCCTGCCTCAGTGCACAGATGAACTGTACAGGACTGTACAAAGATTAGTGGATTCAAAAATAAATTTAAATAAAATAAAAAAATTGTTCTCAGCATGCTTCTTTTGAACTCTGTTCTGCTGCAAAATATTCCTATGAAATCTATTTTATCTTTCTATGATTAATCCACTTGACCAGCTCATGAGTACCCCCCCCCAAAAAAAAAATTATCCTGAACTGTGATTGGCTATTCACCCTGTCAGAGCTGAGACTAATGATAAAACTGACTCTTCTCTTTTTTAAGGCTCCTGAATCAATGAATCATTTTTAATTGTTTGATAAATAGTTAAATAATAATAATAAATACTTTGCATATCTATTTCACAAGACCGGTGCATAGGACGGTAATGCACACTGTCATACTTGCAATGAAGTAACTAGCATGTACAGGACCAACACATTGCTAATTCATGTAATCTTGCAAGTTTGACTGTGTGCAAATGGTAAGTACTTTAAATTTGGACTTTTAGCATACATCTTATTTTTGTGTCAATAAAGAATGAAGCTAAAAATGTATTTATGTTTCCATTATTTTGTTTTATGACTGAGATATAACAGGTGAATTTTAATAGGTTATTTTTAAAGGTAAATCATTTATTATTATTTATTTGTGTGTGTTTTTGAAGGCCACCCTGCGTCAGTCAGTGCACCAGTCGGGCTACCCCAGTGTTGATGCTCCTGCACCCAAGGGTCTCACATTTTGAAGATAACCCCTTGTTCAGTTTTATGTCCTGTAAAAAAAATAAGTTTGCCCTAAAACAAGTTTGGTACCAATAGGACTTCTTTGTGATGTGAGTTCTTCCTGTTTGACTGATCATATATGTTAATCATCTAAAGAGGAAGGAAATGTAGGCGTTAAAAACACCTGATATCTGTCTTCTGTTCACTCACTGCAGAGGAGGACAGTCTTCTCTCAGACGATATCCTTCTTCACTGTAAGTAGAATAATTTATCAACATGTCTGATACTGTTTGAGTCCTGCTGTGTTCTTATTAATCTGCTAACATGTTTTATTGTCCCTAAAGTCACACAGAGAGATGAGAGGAGCAGCGATGACTTTAACTGCAGCAGTGAGTGGATTTATCGTCCTCCTCCTCTCTGTGTCAGGTACTTCATATCTACAGTTACATTCATTTAATCTAAAGAGGGAAATCTGAGGAGATGTGGGACTGATTAATGCAGACTGAAAAGTGTGCTTGATGTTACAGGAAATGTTCTCAGAAACACTATAAACACAGTTTTAATGTATATCATTGTATATCTGTTTTAATGTCTAACAGGAAGATCTTTAGTTGGATCGCCTTTTTCATATTATTTCTTAAGCAGTTTGTTTTCAGAATCTTTCATACAGTTTCTATCGACATGTATTTTTTATCCTTTTTAACATTTTTTGGATGGAAACTTGTTTCCATGATGCGTTGACAGCTTTTAAGATCGTATTTTAAGTATGAGTGTCTGCTCTGTTTCTCACACCTCATAGTTCTGCTTTTTTTAAAGTCTTCACACTTACTTCAACAGCAAACTTACCACAGACCATCCAAGTATGGCAAAAAGTCTTTAATAATCAATTCATAGTTTTCACATGACATCACACGCTTATGGAACCGCCCACCTGGCGGGCGATAAAGACTCTGTAGCTGAACGCTACTGAGAAGTTATTGGTCTCAGTGTTTTTTTATCAGTTTAATTTTTCCATGTTTCAAATGAGAGACAGTTGTTGTTGAATGTGATGCACTAACCGACGAGGAGACGAGCCCGGGTTGTTCTTCTACAGAATGTTTGAAAGAAAACCCAGAGAGGAGGAGATTGTGGATTAATGCTGTTAGACACTCTGCTGTCCCTGTGAGGGAACAAAAGAACAGACTTCTCCTCATCATGACATTAAAGATTGTGTTAACTTGATCTAAATATTCCTGCCTTTAACGAACATTACTGCCCCAGAACACTGACTGACAGAGACCCAGATACTATCGTCAGCTAACCTTAACTTATGTTAGCTTGTTAGCACTCACCGATGTTTGGATGATGAAGAATTTCTTGCCCTTCACTTCCTAAACGAGCATTATTGACCCAGCCACATCAAAAATACATAAAACTGTCTTTTCATCCTACAATGGTGAAGGAGAGGGATTACCCTCTAAATATAACATCTCTAAAGTGACGTTCTTCTCTCTGATAATCAATACGTCCTCTTACAACCGTAAAGTTCACAGGTCTAAATAACACATTTAACGTTCTCTACACCTTCAGACTGGATGATGTCTGGTCTCAACGACTTGCAGATTAACTGTAGAAACAAGTGAACATCTTCTACTCTTCCTTTAACTGTATATACAAATGGACAACATCCCTCAGGCTCCTTCTGTTGAACAAGATGAAGCCAAATGATCCCCATGATGGGCGCTTACATATTGCATATTTGCAACCAGAGTCTGCGTAGTAGGGATCCACTGGAAGACGTCACGCTACTTCCTCTAACGAAAACATTTAACGTACAGAGAAACATACAAATCCCTCAGGTGTGTTCAGTCAACAGAAGAACAGATGCATGCATTTAGATTTCATTGTTGACCCCCATGGCCTTTCTGTTATCATGGAGGAGGTTGGAGTTTGACCTATACTGCAGCCAGTCAGCAGGGGGGCGCTCTAAATCTTTCTCCTTTGACTGCAGCCGTTGCACCGTCAATTTTAACATACAGTCTATTTTTACACTAGAGCAGGGGTCTCCAACCTTTCTTCATCTGAGAGCTTCTTTGAAAAAATGAAAGTGGCCAATCAAATCTCTTGCATTCATTAACATCAGCTGAATGAAGCTACTGTTTGTACACGTGTGAAATTGCAAAAAGCCAATGCTTATCAAGAATCTTAAATTCACATCAAGGTCCAAGAAAAAAACATCAATATTTTACACTTCTTATTGTAAGCTATGTTGCTGAGAATTCACATCAATGTCCAAGAAAACATTATTTCTTTACACTTGTTTTAATGGGCCAAATATATGAATAGTGGGAAGAGGTACATTCACTGATTTATTTTTATCTTTATTCTTTTAACAGTCGGTCAACCTATAGGTGAGCTACTTTAAACCTGCCTGCTCCGAGCTACCTGTTGGAGACCCCTGCACTAGGGCTTTCAAACAATTACACATTTTGATTAATCATATCTTTAATCACATGTTTGAAGTTCCATTATTTTACATTTTAAATATGTTATGTTTTTATTGTAGATATTATACTGTTTTATGTTAAGGGTGCTTTACTTCCTGTTTGGATACAAACATTTTTTTTTATATGTAGAGACTTTTCCTTTTTGTTTTTAAAGTTATGGATGTTGATGGTTGTTTCCTGATGTGCTCTGTGTTACAGTGGTTCAGGGTCAGGACAGCTGGAGAGTGACTTACTCTTCTCTTCAGATCTGTGCTTATAAAGGATCAACTGTGGAGATGAACTGCACCTTCACATACCCAGAGAGGATAAATAGACAAGTTAACTCACTTCAGAAAACATTCTGGTTGAGAAAAGATGGTTTTTATTACAAAGATGTAGAAACAGTTTCAGAGTATTCAGGTCGTGTGAAGAATATCTGTGATGAGAACAAATGCACTCTGAGAATCACAAACCTGAGAGAGACAGACTCGACTAAGTACTGGTTTGGATTCATAACAAAAAAAAGCAGTTATCATGGTCGACCTGGGGTCACTCTGTCAGTCACAGGTAATCTTTCACCTCAATATTTCTGAGCTCACTGTTTCTAATACATTATAAATACATGTTTTAATATGTGCATGTTTTGTGAAAACAGTTGACGTTTCTTCACATGTTCAGATCTCCAGGTGAAGGTGAGCAGACCACATGAGGCTCTGCTCTTTCAGTGTCTCAGTGGACTTTCCAGTCAAACCTCCTACATCTGGTTCAGGAACGGACATCAAACGAAATCAAACATATACTTATTATTATCCACCAGAGCAGCTTCTTCAGACAGACAGTTACTCCTGTGCTCTATCAGGACATGAGAAGTGCCCGTCTCCTCCAGTGTGTGAGTTTATTTACAGTCTTCACTGATTCACACCATCAGATGGAATCTTTAAACTATTAAATGGTGCCTCATAGCAGCATGTACCTCAGTGGTATTTGTTATTTATTTAGATTTTTCATAGTGTCCTGTTTATCTGTTTCAATGTAAAAAAAAAAACCTTTATTCAGCTGTCATGAGCCTCAATTTCAAAACCAAAAGCTAAGTTAGAATGTAATATGTTCATCATCATCATCTGATGTGGATGACAAAGGTCTCTCTGATTCTCCTCCAGATGCTCCAAAGCTTCCCTCTGTGTCAGTGAGTCCCTCTGCTGAGATAGTGGAGGGCAGTTCAGTGACTCTGACCTGTAGCAGTGATGCTAACCCAGCAGCTAATTACACCTGGTTCAAGGAGGATGAAGACTCACCAACAGCTTCAGGACAGATTTTTACCATAAACAACACAAGTCCTGAACACAGTGGGATTTATCTTTGTATCGCCCAAAGCACAAGAGGACGTCATAACTCCACTGTACATCTGACTGTTTTGTCAGGTAAGCTTCACACACAGCTTCGGTCTGATTAAACAATTCTTGTTAGACTCTGTTGTTGTTGAGTTGAAAGCTGCTCAGTAGGTAAAAGAGAAGGCCAAGAGTCGTCCCATTACAAGACTCAAGATTCATTGTTACATGTCATCATCTTCCATCTTCTTGTCTTCAGATGTATAAGTTTGTTATTAACATGAACTCCAGTTTAAGTTACAGCAGGTTCTTTTTGTGGTTAAAATAAGGTCATTGTTGGTTGTATTTTCTTACCTTCAAGTACCAAACAGCACTTCAATAAATCTCTGAAGTTTAGAGCCCAACTCTAACCCTGTAATGATAGAGAGGGAGATACATGCATTCATCACGACTCGACTCGACCACTGTAATTCTCTTAATGTGGGTTTGAACCAGTCGACCATTCAATGCCTGCAGCTGGTGCAGAAAACAGATTCACATTTTAATAAACAGAAAATCATAACGATGTTCAGAGAGGAACCTCCATCCTGTCAGAGTGTGACTGAATGATGAACAGAGGGTATCACAAAGTAGAAATGAAATGTTTCAATCTAATCCTACCAGTAAAGAGTCTCACATATCTATCTTTAATTCTCAGGGAACTCAACATTCATAATACATATCATCAAGTGGACTCTGCTGCTCTTGATGTTGATTTCTCTGTTTCTCCTGACTCTGTGGACGAGGTAAACACCATACAAATTCATCCGTCAGCACACATCTCTTTTATTTTCTTCTTGAACTTATTTTAGTTTTAGGTTTTATTTGACCTTCATCATGTTAACCTTTGGATTTGTTGTTTTCTGATTTAATCCAGAAAGAAGAAAACTCTGAGCTCCACCACTGAACCAAATGAACCTGCAGAGATGATCGAGAGAGAGAAGAGAGAGAGAGAGAAGAGAGAGAGAGAGAGAGAGAGAGAGAGAGAGAGAGAGAGAGAGAGAGAGAGAGAGAGAGAGAGAGAGAGAGAGAGAGAGAGACCTTACTTATCAATCTTTTCCTACATCACTGTAAAGCTGATGAAACATATTTCTGATCAAATCTTATCGTCTGTCATCAGGTGGATGTTGTGTATGAGAACGTGTCAGCCGTCACTGCAGCACAGACAGAAGACACAGAGGAGCAGGAACACATGCTGTGAAGTCCAGTCAGGTTAGAGCCTCCTGCTCTGAATCAAACAGGCCCACTTCACATTCAGAGTCACAGTTACAACTATAACTTTAGTTTGATGTGATTTTCTCCAGATGCAGTTGAACCAGATGCAGGACTCACTGTGGAGAGCGAGGCTGTGGAGGATGTGGGGGAAGTGGAAACATTGACCTTCAGCAGCAGGAAGTTAACAACAGCATGGAGCAGAGAGTTTAGGAGATGGTTTTCTTTTATTTAGCAGCTTATACATATGTATTTATTCATCATTTCTTTAACTAAACAAGCGTCTTTATTCCTGAAAATGTTCTTTTGTTCTGAAAGGAGCTCTCCAGTCACCTTTCAGTCTGCTCTGTGACATTTTAACTCATAAAGTTTAGTTTTTGTAAATATAACTTGTGTGAATAATATTGGACTATGATGACGTTTGATTATGAGTCACTCATCGTTTTAACTTTTATGCACCTCTTTGTAACTGTCTGAACGTTGCACCGTCAGAGTTTGAGCATTTCTCTGTTTGGTTGTATTTTTATAATGACAATAAAGGCTTTCTATTTCTTAACGAGCAGCTCAATGGTGTAAAATCTGTCCTTCTGCTGTCTCTGTTATTGACATTATAATCACAGTAATCTCTTTTGCAGAAGGCTGCTGGTAGTTTTCAAATCAATGGAGCATATTTTCTTTTGTTTGTACTTTAAATGTTGAATAAATAATTTGACAACTATTTGATAAGAAAGGAGCATGGGAAAGTAATGATCTCTGTCTTATTGCAATCAACTAACTGGCAATATGTCGGGACCAAAACATTGTAAGTTAGACTTTAAAGGAGCTTGAATTACTTTTTTAAGTACTTTTAATTGTGACTTTCTTTTTGTGTCATTAAAACATTAAGCTCACATCAACAAGTACTGGGAGATTTTTCACACAGCCAGCGTCGCTTGTCTCCACAGCGGGCGTCGTTCCAGTTGGCCAGCACCGGGTTGTTATGATACATCTCCACACAATCCTCTCTGTTGTTGGGACCACCCCGATCCGGCTGACCAGACTGCCAGAATCTGAATGAAGAACAGTGATGGAAGCAGTTTAGTGTGAAGACGTTAAAACTGGACTGACAGCAGTTAGTACAAGAAAGCTGATGGCAGAAGCTGCCATGTAGAGTGGCCATAAATATTAGCTGATACCATACATTAATACTTCGACACTGAAGCAGAGGGAGCAATTCAGGGTTAAGTGTCTTGCTGAAGTACACATCTGACATATGACTGCAGGAGCTGAGGATTGAGACGACCGACTCTACCACTCAGCCACAGACACCCTCACCACAGTTGTGTCTCTTACAGTGTTTTAAAGTTGTTTTTATTTTATTGGCAGGACAAGTGTCGTAAGAATGACGTCAAAGAAGTGAATCAATCAGAAATGAACATGATTAAATAAAAAACCTGAAGCCTGGTAGCATCATGGGTCAACTTGGTTCTTTATGAAGAAGGAGCCGACCCAGGACTTTAGTTTGGCTTCAGTGTACATGAGCTAAAACACAATGTCTCTTATTGGATCTATGAGGATTAATCACATCATGAATTGTCTTTGATTATATTTAAATCTACTCACATTGACACTAACTGTCAGGGGTTCTCCATGAAGTAAGATTTCAAATGCTTCGATTGAGCCAAATCACTGATGTAAAAGGGGAAATTACTCTGTTAGAATTAAAGACAGAGTTGTACTGCTTTTGTCCAGAAGAGGGCAGCAGAGAGCTGCATAAGCGCTGCCTTCAGTTTGGGTTAGGGAATGCAAAAAGGCTTTTGCTCTCCTTTTTAATAAACTGCAAAGAAAACAGCGCTGTGTGTGAATGTGCATGCCCCTTATAAAAGGTATAGAGTTAAGAGCAGGGAAAATCCCTGGTTCTCTGAAGAATTGTCTAATTTAATCCGAGAAAGAAATTATTATTGGGCAAAAGCAAGAAAGTTGAACACTGATGCTCTCTGGGCTACTTTTAGATGCTTAAGGAATAAATGTACTGCCTTAGTCAAGAAGGCCAAATCTAGCTATTATCTTGCCCTTACAACTGAAAATTTAAATAACCCACGGAAATTCGGGCAGACAATCAAATCTCTATCTCCAAATAACTCCTCTAGTCTTCCAACTTGCATTGTGTCAGAGTCTGCCACTATCCATGACAGAGCTGAGATGCTCAATTGTTTTAATAAGTATTTTGTTTCTGGTTTTCTTTTTGATAAAGTAAATACGCCCTCTACTGCACTGGCTCCACTTGCTATTGCTGAGCCCCCTTTGGATAATGAATTTAACTTTAGACCCTTCACTGTTGCTGAAGTACATAAAGCTCGTAAGAAATTCAATTTAAAAAAACCACCAGGGCCACATAATATAGGTGTTTATTTTTTAAACTCGCCACAGATGTTATTGCAGAGCCACTGACCTACATTTTTAATTTAATTCTAACTAGTAAGAAAATCCCCAAAATATGGAAAACAGCTCACGTTCTTCCCCTCTTAAAAGGTGACGAACCGTCGAGCCTCAATAACTACAGGTGTTGTGGCCAAATGACCATATGAATTATTTACAGTGAAAAATCGTGAAGAGCCAAACATTAATGACTTTAGAATTACTTGTTTATATTATTGTTTATTCTGGCTTAATTTGGTTTTACATTTTGTTAATTGATTTGGGGTATCTGTGCATTATTTCTCCCTCTATGGGGCGGAGCCGCGGCGTATCAGCAGTGGAATTTAAGTTGATTAAGGACACCTGAGGGAGAGTGAGAGGGGGGAAGCGGAACAGTTTTTTGACTGCGAAGGGCCGCTTAGGATATACATTATATAGCGATCTGTTTGTTTATTTTAGTTAAGTTTTCTATTAATAAATATAGTTTATAAGTTGACTTTGGATCCGCGCTGCCTTTGTTTTTATTGATAGCGTGTTAAACCCGCTCAGCAACGACTTACCTAATTGATTTTGTTTGAAGCCATCACATTAAGTCAAAAAAACTCTGCTACGATCAAGAAGAAACACACTGTGAACAGGACAAGACGCCGGAGAGGAAACACTGGTCCGGTCGTGAGTAAACAAATAAATGATGAATGTATGACATGTCGGAAATGTTGGATGAGAATTAAAATACAAGAGTCGATATGAACAGACTGAAGAAGAGTGCAAATTAACGTGTTATGGATGTGGCTGTGTTTAAAGAGTTGACGGACGGCGCTGATCTAAATGCAACGCATATAGGCTAACCATGCTCCGTAAGCAAGGGAGCGTCACGAAATGACGTCTTGCTGCGCTCCGCAAAACATAAATAAACAAAACTGTCATCATATTAACGAAGTGATGAATAAAAATAAAGCATGGAAATTCCCAAGACCTCTGCCGAGGCAGAAGAAATGTTAAAAGCTCTCAAAGCATCCCGTAAAGGAAATTAGGAGCGTGCACAAGGAAAATGAACGAAATAAAAGCTTTGCAGCATGATGGTGGATGTATTGATGATGTCAATAAAGGTTTTAAAAACTTTTCATGAAACGGTGGCTCATTCATGATGTGCATATCTCTGTGCAAAGGCTCATCAGAGGCCGAGAAAGAGGAGGATCTGAAGACTGGTTTGAGCCTAGGATGATCAACTTTAAATATTGTGTGAAAGAGGTTGAAATATGGAAAAAGGAACAAATTG